TTCTATAATTGTTACCTCAGTCTTATTTTTCCAGTTTTCTTTTGTGCTCCAGTCATTTTTCTTGTGTAACTTTTCTCAACCAATTCTACTCCTTTTTTTCTTGTAACTTGGCTGTAATTCAAAGAATCTTAGACTGTACATAGAACTTTAGGCAGGAAGATTTGACATAAGACATTGCTTTCATTATCACAGAGTTTTGTGTATTTGTGACTTTGGCAAAGTAACATGTATAAAATCTTATTCTGAAAAGTAACCATATTAGTTGATCATATTTATGTGTTTTTTTGTTTTTTTTTTTTAACAGAAACTACCACATCTAAGAGTACCAGTGGGCTTACGGATATAACATGGAGTTCCAGTGGAAGTGATTTGTCAGATGAGGATAAGACACTTTCTAAATCACAGAGAGATAATGAACATGGCCCTAGAATAGGCAGGTTTTGTAACAGGAATATTTTATGTCCAGAAGATGGGGCCAGTGAAGGTAAATTGATAATTTTGTAAGAAATACAGTTTCTTTTAAATATTAGATTTAATATTGGAAGCAGCTTACATTCCTAATATTTATCATTAATTATGATTTTACTGAGTCCCAGCCTCTATGTTAAGCCCTTTAGAAACATTTTCGCATTTCATATTTCTTACAACAACTCTAAGAGATCTAGGTATTATTGATTTTTTTTTTTTTTAAAGTTACTTACATAGTTTGGATAACCTGTATATACATGGTCGAAAAACATCAAAGCAATGTAAAAAGATATTTTTGAGAACTCTGTCTCTCATCTCTGTTATCATCTACCCCATTCCTCCTGCTCCCTACAGGTAATTATTAACATTTTTTTGTGTGTGTTCTTTGTCCTTTTTTCTCACAGAGCCCAGTAGGTTAGCTCATGCTTATAGCTCCAGGGGTTTGCTTTTTTTTTTTTTAAATATGATTTGGGAAATAAGCATGACCTGTGCTATAAGAATTGTACTGCTTGAGACTGTGAAATTCTTTTATGGTTAATTAGTTAGGGAAGGCTTTGAAGCTACAAGCTACAGGAAACTCTGTTCAAACACTCTAGTGTTTGAACAAATGGGGTTGAATTTGTCTCTTGCAACAAGACATCCAGAGGGCTAGACTCGTTCTGAGTTCTACAGCCTTAGTATGGGGTTGGTTCTCATGGTGGTGAGGTGGTTGCTGAGTCCTCCAGGCTGGATTCTCTGCAGGAGTATAGGTGCTGAGGATTTTGCCAAGTGTACTTTGCCTTTCCTTTGGGGGGGAGTGCTCTCCCCAGTGTCTCTACCTTTGGCTAGAACTTGTTACAGAGGGTCACCTCCACTAAAGACACTTCAGTGAAATTAAGGATTTTTATATAGATATGTTGCTGCTTAAACAAATTTGGATTATTATAATAGTAATGAAGAAGAGGGGATGGACATCAGGTAGGCTACCAGCTCTGCTGCCATAGGCAGTCAGCTCCTCTGGGGGTGGGTGGAAGAGTGGGGGCTTGGGGCTTTAGGGATCTTGCTGTGTCCTGACTAATCTTGGGAAAACAAGCTGAACACTCTGAGCCTTGGTTTCTGCATCTGGAAAATGGACACAGTAATGTGTGTCCATCGAGTTCTTGTGAGTATTAAGTGAGCTAAAAAAAAAAATAGTAGGTAAAATGCCTAGTTCAAAGGCTTTCCTTAGGCACTTCATTGATAGCAGCAATTGCTGTTATGTCTGACAGCAGAGAAAGCTGTGTGAGAGCCTGCTCAGAGTTCTACAGTAGAATAACTTCTGTGACTAGAAACTAAACATTCAGACCATACTATTTATTTCACTAACATTTAAGGGGGTTCTTTTCTATGCAAATGAAAAAATAAAATTTCCCAAAATGTTTCTTTAAAATTCATAAAATGATATATTGTGAAATAAACTGGCACACACCCTTTTGTAATACTATAATCTTCTGATGAAACTGCAGAATTTCACTTTTCTTATTAGTGCCAAATGCTGTGATACTCAAAGATCAATTTAATTCTGATTTCTGAAACTTCATAATATATGGAGAACAGTATTTTTGTTTAAACAGATGTGGCTTATATCTCTTTCTGGAGATTTTAAGTAAGTGTAGCAAATTCAACTGTGAGAGAGAAAGAAATATTAAGTAAATTGCTACCTTGTATTAATTATATAACACTCTTTTGGGATGATTTTCCCATGCCAGTATATATTCAGCCCACTCTGCTGTACTTTCTGTGCTATAGAATGATCAGTATTTTCTGAAAGGCTGAAAGAGCTTTTATTAATGTATAATTATTTATTACATATGCCCTTGTTAAGACAAGAAAGTATTGTTAATAATTTAATAAAGTCTTGCTATTTGTAATAGAGATAGATAGATAGAAAAAGGAACTCAAGGCATTTCCTAGAATGTTTTTTTTTTAAAAACAGTAACTTCTAAAATATTAGTTTAAGATAGCCTATTAATAAAAATTACAAGGGAAAAATTCTATACCGTATTTAGGGTGAGGAAATAATATTTTTATTAATATGAGAGCTGGGAAGCAGAAGTGGGGAACATACTTTTGTAAAGTGTACATAAGGTCAGAGGCTGTGTCTATGTCTGTTCCCTCATCTGTAAGGCATTGAGAACAGAGAAAACTGAAAAAGGGAAGAAAGAGAGAGGAAGGAGGTAAGAGAAGTGAGCAAATGAATGTTGGCAAAGGATTTTTTTTTTTTTTAATTTACTTGTTTTTTACTTGTATTTTTTTTAGAGACAGAGTCTCTCTCTGTTGTCCAGGCTGGAGTGCTGTGGTGTGATCATAGTTCACTGCAGCCTTAAACTTTTGGGCTCAAACAGTCCTCCTGCCTAGCCTCCTCAGTAGCTGGGACTACATGTGTATGCTACCATGCCCCACTAAGTTTTTAAAAAAATTTTTGTTGAGACCGAGTCTTGCTATGTTGCCCAGGCTGCTCTCAAACTCCTGGCCTCAAGTAATCCTCCTGCCTTATAGCTGGGATTACGGCACACACTACTGTGCCCAGCTTGGCAAAGGATCTTGCAGAAAGTTCAAAGGAGAAGAGAAGGAAGATAAAAACTTAAAATGAAAAAAGTCTGTACTCTTTGTGGGTAGTGATTCTTATTATAAGGCAGAAGTTTTATTTTTTTTTTTTAGGGAGTTTACCAAGCAAAATGAAAGGAAAAAAGTGGAAATTATGTTTAATTTTTTTTTTCCTGAAATATCGTGCAAAGTATTTTCTCGAAGCTTTTATTGATTGAGGTCAGAAAACTCTTGCCCCTTAAAAGCATTACTAAATTTTTTATGATTGTTTCTTGACCAGCTTTTTTCCCAGTGGACTACCTGCCTTCCTAAGGGAAGGATCCCCTGTGTTGCTCATCTTTGTTTCCAGCTGTATTAGTTTCCAAGGGCTGCTGTAATAAAGTACCACAAACTGGGTGGCTTGATCAACAGAAACTGACTGCCTCACAGTTCTGGAGGCCAGAAGTCCAAATGAAGGTGTAGGTAGGCGTGGTTCCTTTTGAGAGCTGTGAGGAAAGGATCTTTTCCAGGCCTCTCTCCTTAGCTTATAGATGGCTGCCTTCTCCCTGTGTGTCTTGTTATTGTCTTTTGTCCCTGAGTGTCTGTCTCTGTGTGTTCAAATTTCCCCTTCTTACACCAGTCATCTTGGATTAGGGCCCACCTTAATGACCTTACTTTAGATTACCCTTGTAAAGACCCTGTCTCCAAAGAAAGTAACATTCTGAGGTATAAGGGGTTAGGACATCAACAAATGAATTTTGGGGAGAAACAATTCAATTCATAGCACCAAGTCCTAGCACAGTGCCTGGCACACAGTGGATACCCAGAAATGTTTATAAATGCATGGTAACTGTTTACATAGTCTGGCTGATAGCTTTCCTAGAACTCCATTGGAATGGGCCTTGGTCTCAAGGACATCCTCTTTTCAGTAAGTAAAACGAATTACTAATAAATTCCTGGTAGTGGTTTTAACTAAGTTGTGCAGTTAAGTGCCTTTAGTTCATGCGTTCATACATCTAGACTCCTGGTCTCTCAGAATTTGAATGTCATAACTGTTAATTATCCTATCCCTTTTAATAGATGGTAGAAGAGCACCAGACAGTTACGTATTTTCTTAGTGTCTGACACTAAGCTAATGGGGAGAGAGACTACAAGTCTGTCTGCCTTGGGAGCTTTGCATAATGGTTAAGAACTGGGACTCAGAAGCTAAACTGTTTGGGCATGTGTCTCAACCACCACAGCTCCTGGTCAAAAGGAAGCATTGCAATTGGGAAATCCTTTCTGACAGCGACTCACAAACCAGAAGCCATAGGGTAAAGGCTGACAAATTCACCTAAATAAAAAGAGAAAAACTGTGTGGCCAAAATGACACATATAAGTCAGGTGTGGTGGTACATGCCTATAGTACCAGTTACTTGGAAGGCGGAGGTGGGAGGATTGCTTGAGGCCAGGAGTTCGAGGCTGCAGTGTGCTGTAATCCCATCTGTGAATAGCCACTGCGCTCCAGCCAAGGCAACATAGCCAG